TATTTTATACTTGTGTTCATCTCGATTCAGGTCCCTTTCAGGTGCTCCACAGCCATAGGTGGCTGGTGGCCACATGAATGCTCTGTGATTTTAGGATTGAAACCATTTTTTTTCTCCTACCAACAGCTCAGACCTATTATTGGAATCTTTTAAGCCTGTATAGTAAAATTTGGGTCCTGTATCAAGGTGATTTGGTGAGAAGATGTGAATTTACATTAGATTCTTAAAACCCTAAAGGAGTTGATATCCACACTTTGTGTAAATTCTGAAAGTGCTCAGGATATACGGTTTGTGATTTTTCTTGGTTCATCTAAAAGTAACCTTAGGGCAGGTAGTACCATTTCCATTTTCCAGGTAGGAAAATTAAGTTGCCCGTGACTCCTGTAGCTTGTCCAAGGTCAGATACTGCAAGGGTTCGCTTCACTAAAAACTAGCCTGGAAGTCAACATGGCTCTTACCCTCTTGCCTGCTTCTGTGGCCTTGGTTGAGCAGCTTGGCTTCTTTGGGCCTCAGTTACCCCATCCGTAAGATGGGGAAGGATGGACTAATTATCTCTGAGCAGCTGCTTGGCTTGGATATTCGAGAGCCCTCTAGTAACTACATGTTTAGACATGCAGAGCTCCCTGTGTCAGCAAACTCTGAAGTCCTCCTAGTTTAGGGAAGACGGAAGGACTAACGGGACCACCCAAAACAGCACAGGTGGTATCTACGGACCATTCCAGAGGGCCGACCATCATTAAGGCCAAGGCAATAGAGAGAGTAGAAGCCATGGGTATGAAACTCCCAGAATTATTGAACATTAATTCTCTACTCTGTCAATTCAGCAATTCACTGCTCATCCTGAGCACAAGATTTAAGGAGTGCCTCTATGAGGTCACAACTGAGATTCAACCCCGTGCCCCATTCCCAGTAGTGTGAGAAGACTTCCACGAGGATATGGAGGAAATAGTGCCCTTCACGCAATCTTAGACTCTTGAAATATCCTTTAAAAGTCACCTAAATGTGCTTCTGGACCAGCAGCAGTGTCACTGAGGAGCTTGTTAGAAATGCAGAATCTCAGGCGCCACCCAGACGTTCTGAATCAGAACCTGCATTTCACAAGAAGCCCCATGAATGCACATAAAATGTGAGAAGCCCTAACGTAGCCCTCGATTCCCTCCTTTGCATCCTGATGAACAGCTGAGCAGTCTATTCCTGGCCTCCCCTAACATTTTCCAAATGTTCCTGTTTCATCCTAGCACCACCCCAAGACTTGGAATTTCTTCTGTATCTTAAGCTAGCCCCTCAGTCATTTCATAACTTCTGCTATTAGCTCCAGGTGGTGCGGGTGCTTCTGTGTCAGGGACCATGCTTGGAGGATCACTTCAGATTGGTACCTTCCATTAAGGCTTTTACAGAGCCTCATTAGTTCCACCAGTGACCTAAAGTAACCAACCAAAGTTCCCAGTCTTTGGGTAGCAGAAAAGGCCTTGGGAGGGAGGGCTGGAGAAAAGATTGCTGAACAGCTTGTGGTCGACCAATCCTGACATCAAGACGTATTTACTTGGGCAGGTCCCTGACCTACCCCAAGGCTCAGTTTCCCTGTCTGCGAAATAGGGAGGTGGCCCTAGCTCAGTTTCCAAGTATATTTATTTGTTTGCTTGTTTGCAGATTTGGTTGTCAATTTGTTTTTAGCAGAACCTTTTGAAAATGAAATCCCACCTGGAACTCCAGGACAGAAAACAACAGGTGAATTCGCTGGTCTGATTGAAGGGGGTCACTCTGCTGCTCTCAGCCTCTCCCTCCCCCAGACAGCACTGAGGCATCTCCTGTGGAAATGTAGTTAAAATCCACTGAAGGAACTTCCAGCTCAGCCTCTTTGATTTCTGTGAGCCCCAAGAACTGTTTGCAGGCACATGGTAGCCTCTGTTTTCAGTTTTCTTTCCCTCCCTGACCAAGACATTCGACAACACCAACTTCAAAATTTCCTTCTTGCAACTCAGAGGCCTGTAGGAGAGGGACTACAGAGGATTGTTACTATCATTAGAGCTGTTGTAAGGCTACTGAGCTGTTGTGGAAAATCTGTTACCTCGAGAATCAGACAGACTTAATAAAAAGGAGTGTGGATGGTTTTATCCCGGTGGCTTCTTTCTACGGCTAATGTTCCAGCCACACATCCAGGGCCTGGTAGTTAATTACACAGGAAATAGGACTATTGGATTCTGCATGCCACAGTGGCAAGAACAATCTTGCGGGATTTTTAACGGGCAAGGTGATGTGGAAAGCCATTCTCATCCATGGGCACAGGGAAGATTCCTGAGCCTTGTTACCTTGGGAAGGTTCTGAGTCTTTAGACTTCACCGTGGGCGTGGGAAAGCATCTCTCACCTTCGGATGACCCCAGACACTGGAATGCGGCCTCGTTTAATTAGGGAAACTGATTCCTAATGGGCCCACCAGGATGGGCTCACCTCCCCAGACACATAATAAACACCTTCAGAGCCAGGCCCTTGGAGCTGCTTTCCTGGGGCTGCTGTATAGTCTGTTTTCTCTGGGCCATCCACTTGCCTGTTCATACTTTCCACACACAATTGCCAAATGTTCGCCGTCTTTGGGGCTGTAGAGATGAGCAGGGCCAAGCCCAGCTCTGCCCCTCCACCACATGCCCAGGCCGCCTGCCCTGCCTGCCTCTCACTTCTGCTTCTCTGAAGCTCAGCCCAAACGCCTTCATGTCCATGAAACCTTGTGCAGTTCTCCTGGGTGGAAGAGAACTCCCGCAGCACTTTCTGTGGGTCTTTCATCTGAGGGCCCTTAGAATCTTATCCATAAACCTTAACAAAACCTGTGGTCAATTTCAGGTTGTTTAGGTCCATCTGTGGAAAGCCCATAGACAGATCATTCAAACCATCACCAAATGTTTACTGAGAACCACTCAGTGCCAGGCACTGTGCTAGGCACTGGGGGTACAGGCATGACAGCACAGATCCTGTCTAGGGCTAAGGGAGTGTACAGCCAGATCAGTTTCTTTCAAAGGGTGGCTCTTGGGGGACCTCATTATAGATGCAAATTCCTGGGCCCCACACTGAACCTATTAAATCAAAGTATATGGAGATAGGAAGCCAGAAAGATGTGTTTTTAAACCTATTCCCCATACGATTCTGATTCACAATAAAGGTGGAAAAACACTTGTCTAAATTAAATCCAGCTGCCTCATTTTACAAACAAGAAATCTGAGACTAACAAAGTAGAACAGACTTGCCCTAAATCCCATAGCTTGTCAGCTCCCCAAAACCAAAGCGGATCTGGCTGTTCTCTCCCTGGCATCGACTGTGAACTTCTTACAGGCAGGAGTATGTTTGTTTTGGTTCATCACTCTGGTTTCCTAGGCTGACACCTGGCTCGACTTAGGCCCTCAATAAAATTCAGTGGAATGAGTGAGTGAATGAATGAATGAGTGCTCATCAGTGCAATGAGTGAATGAATGCATGATTGCTCATCAATGTGACAGGTAGTCCAGTTTAATGACTCAGACCATCCTGGTTCCACAGTTGGAAACCCCTAGGTTTCACTTCCTGGGCAGGTGGGCCCAAGTTTCTTTGACTGATAAATAGGGAAAAACTACCGGAATAACCTGCGAATTGCTGGGAGGCTGACTGAACTGATCTACACAACGCATCTAGGTTGGCTTCTGGCACGAAGCCAGGCCCTCTCAGTAAAGGAGTTCTGCTATCACGAAATTATGTTTAGAAAAAGGTTATGATACGATGTTTGCGATGGCCATGTTAGGGGCACTAGGAAAGAAATGGGAATCTAATAATAAAACTGTGTGCCCTGCAGAGGCAACCTATTTAACACCTGAGCCAAGCCAACTGGCTACTGCTGATAACAGGATTTAGAGAGTTTCCTCATTAACAGGAGGCCATATGCCCATGTGGAAATGAAGTGTTCTTCAGGAAGGGAAAGTGTCCTTAATTAATAGTGTCCTCTACAATAGAAACAATTGCCACAGACCTTCAGCAACAAGAAAGGGATGTACAATGCTTCTCAAAAGACAGCAATTCTTAGGCAACAGAGATTATTTAATATTATGCAAAACAGCATGTCTGGAATTTCAGTCCAGAAGTATTTTGAGTTTCTTTAATTCTACAGACTCAAAGGTTTGTCCAGAAAAGTGGTGATTATGTTCCTTCAACAACCATCTTTTGCTACTTTTCTTCCCCTGTTTGCAAATGTCCTTTTGCTACAGGAAGCAAAGGGGCTGGGAAGGAGCATGGCAGGAGAAGTGAGGGAGAATTAACGGGGAAATCACAGTAAATAATAAGTTGGAGATGGATTTTGACTGGCTCCTCTAAATAACTTCTCTTGGTATCTGCGTGCTTTTACTTAACATTTCCCAGGGAGAATTGATTAGTGTTCAAACAGCCACACACCCACATAGGCAAATG